AGGGGGGGAGCCCCCCTCCCCTCCCGCCCTGCTGAGCCGTGCGTCCCCCCCTCGCTGCAGGTTCAAGATCTCCAAGATCATCGTGGTGGGTGATCTGTCGGTGGGGAAGACCTGCCTGATCAACCGGTAACAGGACCCCCGGAGAGGGGAGGGAGGAGGGGGGAAAGGGGAAGCGATCCCCCTCTCCCAAAGGGCGGCAGCGCCTTGGGCTGAGTCCAGCTCTGGCTGGACTCTGGTGCTGAGCATCCCCAGGATGGGGGGGCACTGAGGCCCCAGGGGTTGGAGGGGGGGGGCTGGGGGCTGCTGACCCACCCTCACTCCCACTCCAGCTTTTGCAAGGACACATTCGACAAGAACTACAAGGCGACCATCGGGGTGGATTTCGAGATGGAGCGGTTTGAGGTGCTGGGGGTGCCCTTCAGCCTTCAGCTGTGAGTAGGCACCGGCCCAGCCCCCTCCCCACACAACCCTTTGGGCCCCCCTCACCTCTCACACCCTCCCAGGTGGGACACGGCCGGCCAGGAGCGCTTCAAGTGCATCGCCTCTACTTACTACCGGGGAGCACAAGGTGAGGTGCCCACCCTGTCTGACCTCTCTGTCACACTGTCCCTGTCCCCATCTCATCCCTCCTTCCCACCCCAGCCATTGTGATCGTCTTTGATGTCAACGATGTGGCGTCCCTGGAGCACACACGGTAGGTGACACATGGCCAAAGGGCCCAGATGGGACTGGGAACAAGCATGAGGGGGCTCTGAGGCTGGATGGAGAGGGAAGACCTGGGCAGGGGCCACAGGACTGCTGGCAACACTGTGCTGTGGTATGCCAACAAGCTTGGCCACCGGCTGGTGACAGTGGCCCCCACAGGCAGTGGTTGGCTGACGCTCTGAAGGAAAATGACCCCTCCAACGTGATCCTCTTCTTGGTGGGCTCCAAGAAGGATCTGAGTGTGAGTGTGTCCCCCTCCCCGTGGGCAAGCTGCACCCTGGCTCAGCAGGGCTGTCCCCGTCACCTGCTCCCCCCGGCTCTGTTGGCAGACACCGGCGCAGTACAGCCTGATGGAGAAGGACGCTCTCAAGGTGGCCCAGGAGATGCAGGCGGAGTACTGGGCTGTCTCCTCACTCACTGGTGGGTTCCAGGATGAGTGGGGGGAATGCAGATCCCG